AGCACTGTCTGACGCGTCTGCCTCCGCGACCCGAAAGGAGAAGCGGCGATGGAAGATGAAGATGAAGTTACGAATCTTCTGGAAGGACTTCAGAAGATTTAAATTCGGCGAAGGAATATTAAAGTACTTTAGCACTGAAACTTCGTTCATCAAAAGCAGAAAGTAGTATGACACTGGTACGTCACGAGAAAAGAACAGCGACTTTTTAAAATATCGCACTATAGAGCCTTATTCGTAAGTTGAAACTGAAGACGAGACGGCCGACGTCAGCAGCTGGAAGAGTGATGTGAAATGGTGGTAATGCTTATCCCATGAAAAGATTGCGACACCGACAGGAAAAGATTAGGTGTAACAAATTTTTGCAACTCTCGGAATACTTAGTGAAATAAGATTTTTTAGCTATGGCGCAAAATCATAAAGTCAAGAAAAACAAGCTATCAGTGCAAACAGTTAGGACCGACTGTGATGAGTGACCTACGAACGTGTAGTGCTTCGGCTGCAATGAGTGGAGGTAAATAAATAAAGCAAATGTGGCAAAAAAAAAGATGCCAATGATGCAATGACGAACTGGCAGACAATAGTGTTGTGAAACTGTGCAGCAGAAGTGCAACTCGGAGTAATTCAACTAACACCATCCACATCGTAGCTGAGCAGAGACCGTATTACCGAAAAATATATGATAGAAATAGATGTCCTCAGGAAAAAGTATGGTATGCGTGCTGTTCGAATTAAAAATGTCGCTATAACGTGGAAGCTAACTTAAAGCGAGGTGCAATGGTTCCGCAGTGAAACGAATACTTAGCTGCTATACGTCCTGCAGAAAATAGAAAGAGTAAAAACGGCAGAGTTCAGCATCGTGAAGAATGACAAACCATGTAATGACCAAAAAATCTACCATACATCACAGAAAGTAAGCTGGCTTCTCAAGTGTAAATGTAAGGAATGGATAACGCTAGAAAGAAACAGGTGAAATTTTGATTACGACGGTGATGTAAGATACTCAGGTTATCTGTCAGTTCTTTCAATTACTATGAAAATTATATTACTGTATGCGATGAGATTGCTCTAACAGACAATATGATGCGAGGAGCATCTAGCACTAAAGGTAATCAAATATAGTGGCCTGCTTAAATGACCCCATAAACATCTAAGACCAATGCGCTGCAACACGGAGTTAAATCTGGCCTTGGAGAAGTTATGCGCCACTTACAATGTACTTTAGATTATTATTAAGCATAGTTATTACGCTAATCAATAAGTAAACATAACTGCACCAAACTAGGTTGCACAGCGCCACGATACCGTCTTCATGCTCTTAGATGCCTACTGAGGCTATTTCAGTAGGCCACGGTTCCACAGTACTTTCGCACTTGCATCGCACATATGCATTTACCATCATTTTATTGGCTATGTTTGGAAATGTTTCACGCATCATTAGCGATGTTTCAGGAGCCCTTACTCTCATATATTTTACCAATATCATCTTACAATTAGAAGTGTTGGAGAATCCGTTGTGTACTTTACGGGATATGACAGCCTTGGCAGTCTCAAAGTCGTGTTGTTTCAACAACCTCGTCACATTCTCCTACCTAAGAACTGATTGCTGAATCGCCTGTGCATTGGCAGAAAGCGTGGATGACTGGGCAGCTTCACTGTAACCCGTGCGAGGTCCTGAAAATTACCACGTCACAAGAGCAATCTTCAAGCAAAGCGGCGGCGAATTTACCTGGCGGTACCGGAAACCGATGCAACAAGTTGCCAGTGCGTCTCACTTCGGTCACGAACAGGTTCACCGATCCGATAAACTGGTTGGCATGTCGGGTAAATTCTGAGCTCTGGTGCGGCTCGCGAGTTTCACTATAAATAGCGAAAACGTTGCATACGGCGAAATCTCATCACAATGGCAACATCTTCTATGATATACTTATTCTATATCCTCTTCCTCACTGATTTAGAAATTGAATGCAATGTTTTACCTCTAATTCCCTCAAAAAGGCAGATTAGAACTATCAGTGTCTTGTTATTACTATCTAGCAGATTTTAACACATTTTGTCATGGCTCTGAACGCCGTGGACACCTAAGTAACATCGATGCGAATTCCTATTTCTATCACTGCCTTGCCCTGTCTTTTAAAGCCGCAAATATACATATGAGTAGCATATATTTTAAGTCGAAAATAGTTTTAAAATTTCATTAAGTTAATCAAACCAGCTATCTTCCATCGCCGCTTCTTCTTTCGGGTCGCGGAAGCAGACACGTCAGACAGAGCTTCCAGCGTTCCCGATCCTGTGCCAGAGTCTGG